CCAATTAAAGAAGAGAAAACTGTATTTTCAAAAAAGCATGGAAACTCATGACTGCAGTTACGTCATCTTGGTCTGAGTGAATTTAATAAGCTAGGCTTCACACCTTGATTTTAACTTTGGGAAAAGCAACCATGTCTAGTTTCTGACCAATTCAACATTAAGCAGAGAATTAGGAGCAGACTTGAGTAGGTTTCGGATAATTAGGACTTTAATTTATGTAATAATAAAATAGGGCAGCAGAATGTAAAGTTTGGAGGCAAATCCAGATATAATAGAACACTTTGTAAGGTAAATTTAAATAAATTTAAATTTACTACGTTGTACCTATTATGTAGGCATATTTAGTAAAAACAGTAAATAAAATGAAAACACGTAGATGAGGTGTTTGATTTGTTCCACATAAGCTTTAGAAAGGTGTTGTTATACTGTGAACTAACAGAGAAATATGAATTCATAATCTAATTGGTGATCTATCATAAATTCTTTTTGTAAAGGTTGGCACTTGAGCTAACATCTGTTGCCGATCTCTTTTTTCTTCTTCTTCCTCTTCTTCTTCTCCCCAAAGCCCCCAGTACATAGTTGTATATTCTAGTTGTAAGTCCTTCTGGTTGTGCCATGTGAGATGCTGCCTCAGTGTGGCTTGATGAGTGGTGCCATGTCCACGCCTGGGATCAGAACTGGCGAAGCCTGGGGCAGCCCAAGCAGAGCGCGCGAACTTGACCACTCGGCCACAGGGCCGGCCTTTATCATAAACTTTTGAAAAGCTGTTGAAAACTGTCTCTGTGGATAGGAAGAATATTATATGAAAATTCCTATAATAAAGTAACAAATCTTGGTTCTGCCTATCACTAGCTGTGTGAAACTGAGTAAATTATTTAACCTCTCTGTGTCTATAGTATCTATTTCGGAGGGGGTTGTAGTGATCCACAGGGGTTAATGCACATAAAGCACTTAGAGTAATACTAGTTACATAGAGAACACTGAATGAATGTAAGTATATTTCATTATCATTGTTGTTTTATTAGATGAGTTTAAGAGTTACTTGACATGATACCAAATGCCACGGTAAGAAGACTGTCTTCAGAGACTTGATGATTAGCATATGGAAGAGTATGACATTTTCCAATAGAAAATGGGTTTAAAGTAGAGAAGGAAAAATGTAGGCTGGAATCAGAAGAGTTCCCTGGTACATGGTACAATTTTGTCGCACAACCTCATCAACCTCTCCAATCCCCATTTTCCGGCTGGGGCAAATCTTGATATGAAGCTCTATTCCTTTGATGGCTTTTTCAAGAAACATATAATCCGTACATACAGCATTCGTCTAAGTTTGTGGACATCTGTGACAATTTCACAAGAAGTAGAAAAGGGATTCCTTTGTGCTCAGTACTTCCTGCCAGGTCATTGGTTCTCTCCTCCATTTTCCATAGCCTTCCAAAATAGTTTATGAAATGGCTATGATGATAAATAATTAGGGCCCATATATGATCAAATAACACAACTATTCAAATGGGCTTCTAGAAAGTTTAATGCTAAATTTATGGCTTAATTATAACTATTGTGTAAATAGTTATAATTGTCTTTTGAGTCACATAAGTGTTTCTGTGGCATGTAATTCACATGCTTCAATAAAATAAATTGTCTCAAGGAATGAAAAAGACGTAGGCGATACGTTCAAATAGGTTTTATAAACACCTCTCATTTTCTTGTCTGCCATTTTAAATTAATGTGAACAGTAAATAGTTTATGAGAAAGCAAATATATTAGAATGCTTATGATATGAATGTAAAAGTCTCGATGGCGTCCAGTCAGTATCCAAATGATAGCCTGCAACCAGAGCTGGGAAGGGAAAACCATCACAACAGCTGTCACAAAAACATACTGGAATAAATCAGAAACGTGGGGCCAGTTAATAAGTCTTCACGTGGAAACTGAGGAATAGAAAACAAGCTTTCTCTTCTTCCTGAGGACGTGGCTGGATTGCATTTACCTACATCCTTTGCAGTTAGGCGGGGCCATGTGACTGTAACGGGTCGTGGGCAGAAGTGATGTATACCCCTTTCATTTGACCTACAGTGGCAGACTTCAAGGCCCTAGATGATGGCAAGCCACCACACGGGAGAAGCCCGGCCCCTCAATGATCATGGATGGGAGGCCTCCTCTCCTATTCCTTGGATCAGACTGTGCCATGAACAAGAAATAAACTTAATTCTGTTATAGAGATTTGAGAGAATTTTTTTTTTTAAGTAGCAGTTAGCATAGCCTGACTAATACGGAAATCTTACAAAACTGATAAAACATAAACTGATTTTTCTTCCAGTGAAGTAGAGCACACCCCTAAGATAAAATTGGAAAACACTCCCATCTCTGGTGAGTAATTTTATGAAGTGCCTGTGGCGACTGGTAAAAAAGACATTGAATGGAACATCCCTTGCATCAAACTGTGAGTAGGGTTATGCCTTTTCAGCCCGGCCTCTCAAACTTGATCCTGAATGTCACCATTTTGGAAACCTCAAAACATCACAGGGAGCAGTTTAAATGACACCATTCCATAATGCATTACATTTTTTTCTGTCAGCGCTTTAAAACACTTTCACTCCGTGTTTAAAACATGTTTCACTCCACAAACCTTGTTTGCACAGTTTCTGAGAAGTCCTCCCTTATCTTTGGGGATATGTTCCAAGACCCGCAGTGGATACCTGAAACCACAGATAGTACTAAACCCTGTATAGACTATGTTCTTTCTTATATAGAGAAACCTGTGATGAAGTTTAATTTATAAGTTAGGCACAGTAAGGGATTAACAACAATAACTAGTAATAAAATAGAACATTTATAACAACATGCAGTAATAAAAGTTAGCATAGATCTTAGCAAGTTATGCATATGATGTTTTTTCTTTCCTTAGTAAGTCAAGAACTTTCACCTTTTCACTTAAAGGAAGCACTTTACAGCTTCTCTTTGGCATATCTGAATTGCCAGCATCACTACTCTTGTGCTTGGGGCTGTTGTTAAACAAGATAAAGGTTACTTGAACACAAGCACTACGATACCATGACAGTGGATCTGATAACCGAGATGGTTATTAAGTGACTAACCAGTAGGTAGTGTATACAGCGAGGACATACTGGACAAAGGGATGATTCCCGTCCTGGGTGGGATGGAGTAGGACAGTGCAAGATTTCATCACACTATTCAGAACAGGGTACAACTTAAAACTTATGAGTTGTTGATTTCTGGAATTTTTCCATTTAATATTTTCAGGCTGCAATTAACAGCAAGTAACTGAAACTGTGAAAAGTGAAATTGAAGATAAGGGGGACCACTGTGATTTTCTCCTTGTTCCTCTCCAGGTAAAGTTGTTTTTCCCCCTCTGGTTTCTTCTAGGATCTTTTTTGAATACAAGATGCCTAGGTGTAGTATTTTCGGCATTTATCATGCTTAGTGTTCTCTAAGCTTCCTGAATCTGCAGTTTGGTGTCAGACATTAATTTGAGGTAATTCTCAATCATTATTCTTTCGAATATTTCCTCTGTTCCTTTGTATTTTTCTTCTTTTGCTATTCCCATTACAGGTATGCAATATCTTTTTTAGTTGCCCCACTGTTCTTGGATATTCTGTTTTATTTTTTTCAGTCTTTGTTTTCTTTGCCTTTCAGTGTTGGAGGTTTCTTCTGATATATCCTCAAGCTCAAAGATTCTTTCCTCAGTCATGTCTAGTCCACTGATAAGCCCATGAAATGCATTCTTCATTTCTGTTACAGTGCTTTTGACCTCTAACATTTCTTTTTGGTTCTTTCTTAAGATTTTTGTTTCTCTGCTTAAATTACAGATCTGTTTTTGCATGCTGTCTACTTTATCCATTAGAGCCCTTAGCATATTAATCATAGTTGTTTTAAATTCCTGGTCTGATCATTCCAACATCCCTACCATATCTGGTTCTGATGCTTGCCCTGTCTCTTCAAACTGTATTTTCTGCCTTTTAGTATATGATGTATTAGATAAAAGAGACTGGCCTTTAGTAATGTGATGGTAAGGTGTAGGGGAGGGGAAGCATTCTGGTAGTCCTATAATTAGGTCTCAGTGTTTTGGTGAGCCTACGACTCTGGACAGTGAACTTCACAGGTGCTTCTCCATTTCTACCCCTACCCCCACCCCTTTATGTGGAACAGGATGGCAAGAGCCGCCTGGATTGGGTATTTCCCTTCCCCTGGGTCAGTTAGCCTCTGATAAAACCCCAGCTGGTTAGGATCTGGTTAAGTAGTTTCTCCTGAGGGCAGATCTGTTAAGAAGAATAGAGTGTTCTGGTGTGTTTAAAAATGGTTCCGTTTCCTCTCCCTCTGCCGGAAGCACAAGGAGATTTTTCTTCAAACTTACTGTGAGAACCTGGTCGGAACCTGGTCAGGCTGCCAGAGGTAAAATTCCCGAAAGTATGGGGGTCCCCCTATAAGTGGGTCCCCCTGGAGTTTTTAACTCTCAGAGTTGTCCAATCTGAGCCTCTAGCAATTCATCAATTACTCTTCTGATTTTCCTACCCTGGCATTGGTTCCCACGAAGGTTTCAGCTCATGGGTTTCTGCTTTGGTGAGTTGTGATTCTCTGTATTCACCTGTCGGTCTCTCCAATTTTGAGGGTAGTAGTTTGCTCTGTGGGCTCACTTCTCTTATGGATCCAAGAAGAATTGTTGATTTTTCATCTGTTTAGGTTTTTACTTCATGTTAAGATGGAATGGTTACTTCCAAGCTCCTTATGTACAGAACCAGAAAACGGAAAGCCCATTACATTGCATTTTTTAAAAAGTATTAATTACATTATTTTTGTGATGATATGGGGTGTGTTTACTTGCCATAAATCTCTAGATTCAGAGGCAAAGGCAGTTTCTGACACAGCACAGTCAGAGCCTTTAAGACAACTGACAACTGCATTATGGCATCCTGGAGAAACTATCCTGAACTGCACTGTCAATCAGCTTGAAAGACAACCTGGATAACACTGTCACTGACACAGCAGACATAGGAAAGGGGCACAGGCTGGCCTCCTGCAATCAGCAGAGGTGGTTCAGTGGGAGAAGCCATCCCCTGGGCTTTCTGTGCTGATGGGGTCATGCAGCTTGTTTGTGTAATTACTGAAAAGGCAATTTACCAAAAAGTCAGCTGACTTTAGGTTAAGTGTGTTTTTATTTCTGAAGCTCTCTGGCAATAAAATCCAATTTGGGACATTCAGGGATTAGATTCCCGAAAGAGCTTGCTCAAAGCCCTTTGCTCCTTCAGGCCCGGGAAGCCCAACTGTGGCTTACCCGTCAGCAGCATGTGGTTTAATCCCAAACTCCCTTTCCTTTGGATTACAGAGTGGGAAGGCGTCGCTGGCACTGGATGCCGTGTATTTTGCAGTCTCCATGAAAGTTCAAGAGTGTGTGATGCGATCTAATTGTCCAGTTTCTTGACATTCAGGCTTGTCTTCCTTGTGAAGCAGTCTAATTGATTTCTGAGTACTTGAAAATAGAGCTGGTAGTGGAGAAACATGCTGGAAAGACCAAATAGGGGATGCATGAGGCCAGCCACACCACCCTCACTCATTCATTCATTCATTCAGTTGCTGCCTCCCAGAGCCCGGGGAGCAGGGGAAGGGTGGGAAAGACACTTCAGTGAGTGGAACAGCATGTGCAAGGACCTGTGTGGTGAGAATAAGGAATGACCTTGGAATGCTGGCTGGGGGCTTGTATGCAAAGTTGAACGTGTGTTCCCAGCTCGAGTCCAGTGGTTCTCAGCAGGACATGTGGAGATGAGGAGATGGGTAAGCAAGATAACTGATGTAAGTTCAAGCAGAAAAAGCTGCATTTCTGTTCTTCTAGGGCTGAAGAACCCCGAACAACGTCTAGTCCACTGTGCTGTGTGGACTCCTGGGGAGGGATGGGTCCAGAGACCTTTAGGAGTCATGGTAGTGTTACCGGCTCTTAGTTAATATCAGCCCTGATATTAACAGTGAACCCAGTGAACCCAGCACATATGGGTTAAGACTAAAAGCACACATTCCCAGCTCCCTCATTCTTTAGTTACACTCATTTGTAAATGCTTGTTTCTTTAGCCTCTGACTCCCTGAGCCAACTAGAACTTACAAATTATTAAAGTCCAAATGACCTCATGCTGAGTTCCCACTAAAGTTGTGGCTAATCATGGGGACTTCAAGTTCTTTTACAGAGAAACTAATGTCCAGAAAATATCATGAAACCAAAGCTTCCCAGGCCCAACTCCTTGGCTTCTTGACGTCAGAGTCTACCTTCCACCATGGAGACAAACAGCCAAGGACGCTCATCTGAGAAATCCTTCGTCTCCTCCACTGGAAGCAGCCCCAGACACAGGCCAATGGGAAAATGCTGACCAAGAAGGCCATGACTCCCCTTCCCCTACCTAAAACCTCAAATAAAAACCCCTACCCATTTCTTAATGAGGAGCAAGCAACTTTGGCGGCACTGCCTCTTTGCTGTGCTCCCTCTGCCTGGCAAAGTAAAGCTTTTCGTTTTTCTCTCAAGTCTCTGTTCTCGTCATTTGGGATCAGAGACCAAACTTTTGGTAACAGTAGAAAACATTGCTAGGACTTTCAGATGCTGTTGTCTGGCCTCAACTGTGTCTCTGCCCCGTGCCAGGCTCTGTGTTTCACCCCCAGGGAGCTGTGAACATGGGTGTCAGACCTCAGTCACACATCACGTCCTCTGTGCACAAGCATGGGCACGGGGCACACATATTAAGTCCTTCCCTTTGTGCAGGACTGGAAGCCCCCAAACCATTCAGCTGTGAACCCTGGTGGGCCCGCTCCCACTCCCCATCCTTCCAGTCGCTACCCACTGGACAAGTGTAGTATCTGTTTTCCCAGTTAAGAGTGTCCATGAGGTCTCTTTCCTTAAGACAGCCTAGTCTCCCTTGGTCTCTCCCACAGTACCTCTGCCCTCTCAGGCCCCCTAGAGGACTGTTCCCAACCTCGAGTCTGACAGGGGCCCTCCCTGCTTCTCTCAGTGCCATCATACTGCAGCTGCGGCACTCACAGAGGCCCCCTTGGCCAGATACCTCCTGCCTGTGCAGCCCTGTTTCTACTCCATTTCCCCCGCTGCTCTGGCCAAATGATGCTACTCACCCCTCTACACACATCCAGTGATTCCCTGCCTGCCTTCTGGCTTGTTTGTGTGACTTGTGCTGTTTCTTCCACACCTCCTCTCAGCAGACCCCACACCTTTCTCAGAATCCCCCACACTGCTGCCTCCCTGACGCTTGCGGGGGAGCTGTGGCTGAAGTGCCATTCCCCCTGCTTGTGCTCTGTGGCTTTCTGTGCTTGCTTTTGATATCCAAGTTCATTCTTCTTTGTGTTCCAGTGGCTTGAACACTTCTCTCATTTCCCCAGGCAGAGTAAGGGACCTTGGATGAGGCCTCTGGGTCATCTCCAGGTGGGGCCAACACCCACCAGGCACAGAGCAGGCACCAATGGGCCTTTGTGTTACAGAGCAAGGGCTTGCCACCCAATGTGCACACAAGCCAACACTGTGGCACACCTGTCTTCGAGGGAAGAAAGGCTTTATTGCACAATCGATGAGTAAGGAGACAGGAGGCCAGGCTCTCATATCTGTCTGGCCCATCCAAGGTATGAGGTAAGGTTTAAGGGAGCAAGGAGGGCTGGCTGGTATGTGGAAGCACTGGCAGGAGGAGTTTCGACTGGCAGGTCAAAATTTTCTCTTCTGTTCATGCTCTGGGTGGCTCACCACCCATGAAAAATACCTTTAACATCCTGTTGTTAAGATGGGGTCAGTCATGGGAGGTTACTGGGTGAAGTACAGTAAACAAGGGTAAAGTTGTTATGTAGATTTAAGTGACTGCCTTCTCTATTGATTAAGATGTTAGAGTCACCTCCCCTCACCCCATTCCTGGCACAGAGAGTGAGGCACCCTTACAAATGGAGATTTCTTTTATAAATGTCAATTTCCCTTAGAAAGGGTAAATTCTACTAGTTTTTCAGAGCTTTTCCTGTGTCTGCTGTTTTTTAATAATTAGCAGGCCAAAATAGCCCTTATGCCAAAGAGGCATATTTTGGGGTGGCAAATTCTGTACCTGGTCCTGCAATTACATTAGTGGAATGAATTCTACCTGGTATTGCTGGGAACCCCAGGCATGACGCCTTGCACAGAACAGGCACAAATTAATCTTTGTTAATTAGATTCAGGACGTAAATATTTTCAGGCCATAAACTGGAAGAAAAAAGAGAAGTGGACCAGTGACCATGCTCAGTGGAGAAACCTCTCTTGTCCCCCTTCCACAAAGCACCCTCCTGAAAATAGTGGGCAGAAGGGGCTGCATTTGATGACTCAGAAAATCTATGTCTGGATTCCATTAGGTTGGCTCACTGAGGTATTGTTGATATAAAATAACCAATAACCATCCTATAGATAAGAGAAATAAGGTGAGTTTACTTGAGCCAGAGTGAGGATTATAACCCAGGAAGGCCTTAGAAAACATTCCAGAGAAGCATGGTTTTCGGTACAGTCATATCTTTTTAGAACAAAGGATATACATTAAACACACCCAGGATACATTTTAAAAATTTCAAAGAGGTGTTCAGTTGGAAATTAGCAGGTCAACATGACTGTGACATCAGGAAAAGGACTAATCCATGTGTTACCAATAGGGCATAGGAGGGGAAGTCTGCATTCTTATCTTAAGAGAGTGCATTCTTTAATGGTTAAGCAGATGTACAATGTTTGTTTGATAGGCCGTAAGTCAGGCTTTTTAGTTCAAGCCGAATTAGTTTTGAACCTGAATAGTTACCACATATACCTCAATATGTGAAAATTGCTTGTCATTTTTCCCTTTTGATCAATAATCTTTTGATAGAAAGTGTTGCTGATGAAAATAGTGTCCCTCGGTGCCAGGGTGGCTGCTGCCTGCCCCGGGTCCATCATGTCCCTCGGTGCTAGGCTTTTATTTCATTGATTAGCCCAGTTATCCACATTGAGGGGAAATAGTCAGATATAGTGGACAAGCATAGAGGTATATATTAGCAGGGGAAGTGTTTCATAGGTATGAAATTTGTCAATTATTTTTAGATTATCACACAAATATTGCACATGTGCTTTTACATGACTTCCTATAGTTACGTTGTCTATAACAATTATAGAACAGGTAATCCTATACTTGAGATGATTAGCTTAAGGATGAATTCTCAGGCATAGCCTTAATAAGAAAAGAGGCTTCGTCCAGTGTTGCAGGATCAATCAACCATCTCAAGTCAATGAGCAATCATCACTCTAGCTTGCAAGCTATTTTTACAACACTGAGAAAACAGTAATTTGCTTGAATATTATGACTAGTACAAGAATTCCGAGGAGTAATAGAAATAGGAATTGCAATCCAGGTCGTAAATGGAAGCCAATAGCAAAAGGGAGCCAACTAAACAAATCAAGACCAGGTATACAATTGCTTAAGGCATTCACCTGGTTTTTTCATGTGCTTTAGCAGAGATGATACATTGGAGGACTCATCAGGTATAAAAACACAGCATTCAGTTTGAATGATATAAATGTACTACCTTGGGGTGCTGTAGGAATATCTAAGGCCATTCTATTTTGAAGGAAAGCCTTTCTCATTAAAGACACTTTAGTATCTAAAAAGGCTATTCCTGCTTGACTACTGTTAAGGCTTTCTGTATGTGATATGATATCCTCTAGCCCCAAAGAAAGAACAACTATACCTGGCTGCTTGGTGGTCACACCAGTAGAACACTGAATTAGCCCATCTGGCCTTAAAGAGAGAGAGATTGGCAATAGGTGTTAGCTCAGTGTGAATCCTTCCCTGCATCCAAGGGAAAGTCAGGGTTCAGTGTTTAGCCATCCAGGCAGTAGCCAAGGCCAGAGATTTGCTCCACAATAACCACTGAGTTCCATTAGGAGGCACTGATAAATGCCTGGCCTTCAAGACCAGTCTTCAAGACCAGTCTTCCAGATCAGTCACTTTCTTTAAGTATGATAGTATTTTGAAACCTTAAGTAGAACAATTATAAAATAGGTATACAGTTTAAGCATAACAAAGGTTTAAATGAGGAGATACAATGTTGGGAATGCAGGCCTGGTCCAGAGTCTTGGGACAGCTGTCTGCAACAGAT